GGAGCCGGGCCCCGCCCCCTCAGCCCGGGGCGGGGGTGTGACTGACAGCGAGCACACACCTCCCGCTGGCTCTCCCCACGGCCTAGGAGTTGCACCGCGACAGGGAAGGCCCAGGAAGAAAATAAGCAGCTCTTTAAAATGCCTCTTTTTATTACATCACAAAAATAACGCTGATACATTGTTTTTCTTGCAGGCTGTCCCCAAAAAGGACAAGAGGAAAGCAACGTTGGTATATATTCAAGCAAAACCATGGAATAAAAGTCCAATAAAGAGTCTTTTATACAAAACTCATATGGCCTTTAATTAAATGCAACTTAAATGGTATACACAGATGTTCGATACATACAAAAAGACAGATGCACAAACATAAACAAAAGTTAGTATTTTACATTTGCTGCACCTTTCATTGCAGTGTAGTACATCCTCTTCAGCTACTTTGCACGACCAGTATCATGGAGGGAATAAAAAAGAGCAGCATTAACTTAGATCTCAGCTCTTATTTACAGAACGTAGATGGTAGTACTTGCTTTCATAAAAAACGTCTTATAAAAGCTAGTGATTACCTACCACTATTGGAGGGCTTTGCTGATGTCAGTCAGCGTCACTATTCACAGCCTGATTTACCGATTATACAGTTCAGGTTCCACCTGCAGTGATTACGTCAGTCAGTTTCAAGAGATATTACCATCTCTCTTACCTGATCGCTTCTCCTACTTATGTGATGAGCCCTTTATATGTTTTCCAAACTTAAGTGCTAATGCTGACTGTAGCATTAACACAGCAGGATAAAGACACGACAATCAAAGGAGGTTAAATACAAAATACTTAACAGTTTCATTCTTCAGATTTTTTTGACTTCAATTTTGTCTTGGTTTCTCGTGACGAAGCTTTGGCAGTTTCAGCTTTCTTTACAGTTTCTGCAGTTTTCTTTACAGTTTCAGTAGTTTTCTCTTTTGGCCTTTGCTTTCGGGAACGTATCAGGTCTTCGCGTCCAAGTTCAACCATTTTTGCTTCCCAAGACTTCATTTCATTTTCGTACCGAACCTTATCGTCTTCAGCAAGCTGCAAGTATGGCTGGAAGAAAATTATATATTGACAGCTGTGAAAGTGGCTATTTCTAGAAAATTGCCATATCACTTCCTCCCCTTTTACACAAAGGCAACGTTACTAAACGACCCGGGCAGCGCACCTCTGAGGTGTTCACTTTCATCTCCAGCAAATTCAAAAAATGTCACACTTGTGCAAAAGTACAAAACCTTAACACTGAATTATGGTTATGTCAACAGATGGCCATTCCTGAATGGGAAGGTTATTCCATTTTACTACTAAGCTAAGGCTTTGTATTTGAGTACAAGTTTAGGAAAGCTGGGATACGTAAGGAACAAGAATCCAAACAGGTTTTGCTGCTTAACATATTTCAAATTCTCTCTTCAGGAAAACCACAGAACATGAACCCAGCACGTGTTCTAAGTACACATTCAAAACAGTCTGGAAGGAGGACGTTTAGGGAAAAGGACAGAAAGGTATAGAGTATTTATAAAAATTGGGGGCTGATTTTATTTCAGTATAGCACACCTCTGATTTTCACATACCCATCTGAACTGTCGTACTTCAATATCCCAAGAAAGCTGGCAGAAAAACATCCCTGAGGCACCCACTGTACTCAGCTGCACATTTCTGCAGCATTCCCCTCTGTTAACAGTGTTTCCACGACTAGCAAGCTACTACTCTGACATTAAAACAAAGTATCTTATTTTTAATTTATTAAGGGGAGGAAAAAAAAAAAAAAAACTGTTGAAAGTTATTCCATCTTCCCTCCCAGATCCCACTCAACTTCCATTTCCAGGCATACAGAACTTCCATCCTATTGGACTCGCTGACAGTTCATCAATACCGTTAAAAAAAAAATGGTCACTACTGCCATAAAAGTAACGACAATCTTTTTCAAGATGCGTAAATAAGATGTTGGAGTATTTTCCTCAATACTGTCTCTGAGTACCCGAGTTCAACTCATTTTGTGAGAATTTAATAATTTTGTCATTTCCTGATTAGAGTAAAGCCATCAAAAACCACAGACATACCTGCTTTTGAGAACTGGATAGCTTTCGCCAATCTTCAAATAAACGCTTCAGCTTTGCCTACAAGATATTAAATATTCAAAACATTAATATGAGAATAATATTAAAGACACCACAGAGGGTTAAAGATGAATGCCACACCAGCGTAAGCCAGGTATAAGCCAATATAAAAAAGCACCCACGCAAAGTCGCAAAAGCTTCATTCCTCCATCTCTTAACCTAGGTCAGCAATAAACAACGTGGCTTGACGCATTGCTGTGCATCATGTAAGCCACGTTTACAGATAACATAAGTAAAAAGTAAGTTAAAATTACTTCACCTGCAGCAAAAGCAGACAGACAGAACGGCTGAACTAATTTATAGCAACATGATTGCATCCTAACCTACATGTCAGTTTAATTTAAAATCAAGCCGTAACTTAAGCTAAACCCACAAAAGCGTTAACCACGTTCACAGGAAGCCTTGCCTGACTTCAGGAGTATTTAGCCACGTATGTGTCAAACTGGGACGCAGCTGACTAGAGATGCCTTGTAAATAGATAACGGAGGAAAACAACCATTTCCCATCCTTTTTCATCTGCTGCTAAACATGTTGACATCCTAATTAAACCGGTCTTACTAATTAACACCACAAGGTGTTTCTGCAAACACGACCCATCATATCCTTCATTAAACTACATTATCACCACTTCCCAGCTGCCTACCTGCATAGGGTAAGGAGGATATTAAAGACATAGCAGAGGTCTCTGATGCTTTAAGCGCAGTAATCCAGCAACGTAACTTAAACCACCCCAAAGCGCAGTTTAGTGTGGAACTTCTGACTTTGCTGAGGAACCCTTGTGTGTCCCACAGCATTGATTTTGCTATAAGAGGAACAATAATTACTACAGATACGGTAGCAGATCACCATGACAGTTTGAAAAATTCATGTATTTCTAGACTGAAACAAAGAGCAGAATTCTCTCCTTACAGGAGAGAACAGATGAAGTCTGTAGCCCTGAAGTGCAAGAAGTACAGCAGATCTTTTAAGTCTGCATATCCACACACCAGCTTGTACAGAATACACCTTCAGCAGTATATCCAGAAGATCACTATAGTCAAAAAATACCCAGCAAAGCAAAATCCAGAGATACTGAACTGTTGAACAGTTGCTTTGAAAGTACTGAATCTAAGAAAGATTTCCTGATTAAAAAAAATTTCATAGGACAACAGGTACTATTATTACTGAATAAACTTTTTTTTTTTTTTTTTTTTTTAAAAAAAGAACAATCTTTCCTGGCTTACCGTAGGTGAAATTCCCTCACTTTCTTGAAAGTTTTCTGACACAAAAATGTTAAATCCACTACGAGGTCTTTTAGGTTTTCCAAGCACAGTCAATTCCTTTAAAAACAACAAAAGAAGTCATTCAATCCACCCAACATGCATTTTTCCCAAAACTGAACACTTGTCTTTGTTTTTTTTACAAAAAAAAGACCAGCTTCAAATTCAGTTTCTTGTATTTTGTTCTGTTAATTGGACCGTGCATCAAGGTGATCTGGTAATTCTCACCACTTCTCAAGACTAGGGCTAAACTAAACTAAGAAAAGGTAACAACTTGAATTTTCACGGACATAATAGTTCAAAAATGATTTTATCCTTGTTTAACCTCAGCCAATCAGAAACCAAATACAATATACTTCTGCTCATTCAGGAAGAAAGTCACGACAATGGGGCATCTATTCTCTTCTGAAGGCTGCGGCATTTGGTGTGAAACACCATAGGCTTGCAGAGAGAAGAGCAGTAGCTAACCTCGCGGGTGGGGAGAAGGTGGAACAGAGCCAGTAAATTTCCAGGGAAGCAGAACCAGTTTTCTGCTATCAGAATGCTTGCCTACAGGGACGACGGTGACAGAGGGGAAAGTACAATAAATTATGGATGCAACTACGCTTGCTGGTTTCCTCAGCCATAAGACTACCACTATGGACTTGGTGCTGCAAGTTAACACCTGCTTAGGTATGCTGCTTAAATTCCTTGTAGTGCCATACTCTTAAAATAATAATAATAAAAAAGATTAGAATGATAAAACACTTCAAGCAGAGTATTTCAAAACCCAATTCACTTCACTTCTACCAATTCGGGCAACATCACACAAGGAGCTCAGTTCACACAAATGAACAGGCTGTAACCTATTTAATTGGTTTTGCCACCGGACAAAGCACAATGTGGTATTCTTACAGATGGCTCTGTCTGTCAGGATTTTTATATAAAAACAGCTAAATGGGAACAGGGAGAAGATGATCTGTATCAAGAGGTCTAAAAAACACACTAGGAGACATGCAACTATATAAGCCTAATGCAACATGTCAGCCGCTACATCGATTCTGAAGTGGCAGAACCCAGAGAAAGGCATGAAGAAAGGCTATTCCAAATGGTTATTACCCTGTAGGGGCCAAAGAAAGGACAGACACAATGTCTTTATGAAAAGCTATTTCTGGATATCTTCCCAACCAACGGACCTGTGTTGCCGGCTCAAATGTCCTCAGACAGCTTTAGGAATGCGGGAGAAAAAAGCACAGAGAAGCTACTCATGAACACAAAGATATGGGCTACTTCTGGTCTTCAAGCACAGGAAAGTCACTAAAATAAATAGTGACACCGTCTATGATTTTAATTCATGTTTTTTTTTAATGCTGAGCTTTGATTTTTTATTTCTAAATACGCCTCAACTCTGCTTTTATCTAACAACTTTTAACTAGCAAGCAAATAGACTTGTTTCCTTGAGAAAAAACTTAACTCGAAATTTGAAATACTTACTCTTTTTTCCCTGAACAACCTTCTTTTTGCCAGTCGTCGTCTCCTTTCTTCTTTCAAAGCTGCAGCCTCAGCTGGACTAAGCTGCGCTTTGTATGCGGCCAACTGCTCTTCGTATCTTTGCCAGTCTGTCTTCCTGGCTTCCTCGTAAGCCTACAACACAATCACCAACCTTAACCTGACGTTACCATTCCGCTAAGCACGGTGCTTTTAAAAGTACTGAAGAGCCAAATCCCTTCTGAAACAGTGCTGTCTGCAAGACGACGCAGATCTGGCTACATACCTAGTCAACCACCATTCAGAATCAGTGAACAGAAACAAATCCCTAAAAATGTTTTATGTGCTAGAAAACACACAGGAACACGAAGCAAGCAAATTTTTGGAGATCTTCTCTCTACCTATCATATACTGCCTTCTGTCCTCCCCTAGGAGCAATCTACGTCGAACAATCTGAGAAATAATCCACAGGGCTTGACACAAACGGAGGGGGGGGAAAAAAAAAAAAATTTATCTGCACAAAAGAGATTTATGCAGCTGCAGCCTCAGCTGGACTAAGCTGCGCTTTGTATGCGGCCAACTGCTCTTCGTATCTTTGCCAGTCTGTCTTCCTGGCTTCCTCGTAAGCCTACAACACAATCACCAACCTTAACCTGACGTTACCATTCCGCTAAGCACGGTGCTTTTAAAAGTACTGAAGAGCCAAATCCCTTCTGAAACAGTGCTGTCTGCAAGACGACGCAGATCTGGCTACATACCTAGTCAACCACCATTCAGAATCAGTGAACAGAAACAAATCCCTAAAAATGTTTTATGTGCTAGAAAACACACAGGAACACGAAGCAAGCAAATTTTTGGAGATCTTCTCTCTACCTATCATATACTGCCTTCTGTCCTCCCCTAGGAGCAATCTACGTCGAACAATCTGAGAAATAATCCACAGGGCTTGACACAAACGGAGGGGGGGGAAAAAAAAAAAAAGCTTTAGCTGCACAAGAGTAATTTAAGCAATTTCTTGACCCTCTGTCACACATACATCCTTGTGAATGACACACGTATGAATGTCACGGTGGCACGTGGTGCAGCCCTTACTGAGGGTAAGGGATGGCCGTGTATTTCAACACGGAAGTGCCAGCACAGAAAACTGCCATCACCTCTTCACGCTGGTCATCACTCGTAGCGTAAAGTCTGGCTTGATGTGAAGTGGTTCTGACCCTTGAGAAGCTGTCAGCACGCTAAGCAACTTTTAACTAACGTATTACCTTTTATCTCCTTCTAATATCATATTCTCTCTTTTCTGTCATACGCCAATCTCAGTAACAATGCAATATACCAAATGAATAAAAGACTACTTGCATAAAAACCTAAGGTTTAGTTGAGAATTTCAGTAGTCTGCACTGTCTGGCATTCCTCTAGTGATTGTAGAAGCAGGGGGGAGGCTTATGCCTTAACTTTTCACATTTTAAATGCCATAAGCAAGGTCCACAGAACATTTTAAAACTATGGACTGTTTAAAAGCCGAAAAGCTACATGGGAATGGAAAGATCAATTATAAACAGATAGGAAGATGCTAGACTAACTCAAAAAACACAATAAAACCCAGACCAGACTTTCCCAAATAGTTTGTGGTTTGGCACCATCTAAATACAAGAATATTTGGCATAGGAATAACCAGACAAGCACTAAGGCCTTTACTAGCCCAGAAAATCTAGCAGCAAAAACAAACACTGGCTACAGAGCAAAAAGGTAGGAGTAATGACACCCGAAACAGCATAAAACTGAAAAATAGCGGCTCACCAAAATGAAAGCAGACACTGCATGCTGAGAAAGAAAGTCACAAGAGTGCTTAAGGCAGAGGCCTAGAAAAACACTGGGGAAAAAGTACTTCTTCTAGAAAATAGTTAGACGAGATTAGATGTTCTTGAGAGCGATCAACCCCAAGACAAAATTATTTTGCTAACTGCAGTCAAGAAAGAATAGACATTCTTTTGCTACAAAAGGCATTTCTATTCAACAACGATTAGCAATTGCATTCATAGGCCTGTTTTACATTATCCCTTGAAGCTGCTACCGTTAAAAAAAAAAATTAAAGAAACTTCACTACCTATAGCAAAAGATGAGTCAAGCAGATGAAACTTAAAGAAAGGCACCTTTGAATTAGGTCTGCAGTTATCACCAAACCATTAAAAAGAGTCAGTCCTTTCACCAAAAATTAAATCGCATCTCACCTAACTTAAGCATAGGAAAGCAGAATGCTTTTGTTATTACACATTAATGCACACCTGTATAATAGCCATTCAGAAAGAAACTCGGTGTCAGTTTTCAGCCGTACAACCAAGTACGGCAAGCTTTGTGTCATTTGTTTCTTTCCGGCACTAGATTAAAAATATGATCATATAGAGAATTATCAAAATCTGTCCCCCCGCCCCAGTACTTCAAAGCCCTCAGTTCTCTCCAGAATTGTTATGCCTCTACTTTTGTATGCAAGCACTTTTTTTTTTTTTTTTTAAATTTAAATGGAGGACATCAAACCAGGTAAAATGACCAGTAAGATTCTATACAATCCTAAACACACAGGGGGGAAGCACACTTACTTGTTTCTCCGATACTGGTAATTCCTTCCAAGCACCTGCCATTTTTTTAACCAGCTCCATATTAGTCATTTCTGTACATTAAAAATAGAAAGCAAGAAATGTTCAATAATGTATTTCTTCAATTCTCCCCAGGAGAGAAGTTGTCACTAATACCTCTTCCCTGTACAAATATATTTTCTTCTTTTTATAAACTTGTTTACTTACTGTGGCAGCTAACAGGAACTATGATTTTGGGGGAGAAAAGTCTCTGCTCTTAGTTCAAACTCTAATGAAACATGCAGTTATAAAGGAAACACCACTTCCAAGACAGACATCTATCACCAATCTACAAAAGTTTCTCTTTTAAGTTGGCTCCTTTTCTAGGATGCAAGATGATCTGAACTTGGGCAGGGCAGCGGAGGAGGAGGAAGTTTTATTTCTTAAGTTTTTACTCAATTTACCTTGTACATACCACAAAAATCAAATTTCTAGTTCCCAGGTTTTGGCAAACATGCTTGATCTCTATGAAAATTAGGTCCCTTATCTATAATACTATTCAACAAGGATTAAAAAAAAAGTCACCTCCTTCTCCCACAATCAGAATTACAGACAGTGACTTGAATTTGCTTAATTTCTCAGCTGACTGGCTTTCTGACTCTTTCACTATTCTCATTTGATGCACTTTTCAGTCTTACACTACTTCAATGTCAAACAAGACCTGAAGTAGTTGAGGGGGAAGGAGAGGAGGCAAAGAGGATATAAGCTTTTCCTTTCTTGAAAAATCTTTCCAGGTTTTCCCTATGCTTCATCCTAAAAGAAAAGGGATAGGGGGTGTGGTGGGGGGGGGGGGGGGCGGAAGAGGGGGGACACCCACACACCACCCCCAACGGACAGACCAGGGGAGTTCTTGGTCCAGATATACCATTCTTAAAACTTTTGAAAATTGTATGTTTTGCCAAAAAATAGGAAAAAAAAAAAAAAACCAGGTTACTGAAGATTACTTCTGCTAGAACTAGAAACCAAAAAGATAGCAATCTCACTTCATAGGATAAAGTGCATGTATTTGTAGATTATTCAAGTTCTGGAAAGAGACAGCAAAATATTGGTCTTCAGGTACGTAATTGCAACAATATCTCCAAGCTCAGTGTCTCAATATTTTAGACTGTTAAGGTCTTGAACTACTGAGCCAAAAAAAATTAAAAAAAAAAATCAAAGTTTCAAGTTCTTTTCCCAGCTCAAGTTAACCTCACGACTTGCCCGATATGATAATAGCTCTTTAAACCTTTTAACCTAACTTAGACATAGTTGTACTACATTTCCTCATTCCTACAGTATTTTCTGTATCAGCAGGGCTTTCTGTTTTGCTGTCCTCTGTGTGCAATTAAGAGTGATCACATTCACTATCATAAACTTTATTTATAGGCGACTAAACATACTCACAGAAAGCCACTTGCCTCTAAATATAGTTACATGTTGCTAACAGGCCAATACATATAGTTTTAAAGTTACTAGCAAAGCATCAAAATAAAAAACAGGTGCAGCTCATTGTATCAACAAAAATGTATTTCAAACATGCACAGATTCAAAATTAACCGAAAAACACTCATCACTGTTAACACAAACGGCTCAAGAGGGTTCTTTCCTTCAAACTTTTTAAAAGTGACATGCAAACGTTTACTCTGCCTTAGTTGAGCCATTAAGTATAAAAGACTATGCTAACACAAGCATGAGCAGTAGGTACAGTAACCTTGAGCTTACTTTGCGTTACTGATAATAAGATGTCTTTGGTCTCCTAACATGACAGTAACGTTTCTTAGTTACTCCTACGACACTTAATGTATTAAAAAATGTATCAATACAAAAAATTGTATATATATACACACACACACATAAAGCATATATATTTCACGCCCATATGTATGCTACACCTTTTTGCTTTAATCACACACCAGAGAAAAAACCCTCAATGCATGTAAAGTAATAGTAGCTTCACAACAAAACCTATGGCACGCTCGACGCTTTTAAGACGTTACATTTCTAAAAGCAAAACAAAACCGATCACGAGTAAATACTGCGGCACCTAATTCCATTAAGATCCCGTACCTGGGTTTTTTTGCCGGAAGACCGAATGATTCTCCTTCAGAAAACGGAAATAGGCCGTTAAAGGTCGCTTTGGGCGCTCGTGGGAGCTGATCCGCCTCGAAAAGCCCTTCTCCACCGACAGCGTGACGCTACAACGGCAGCACAAAGCCACAGCCCGTTACCACAGCC